CTTAAGAATCAATAAAAAATGGCAACACCCAAGTGTGCCTTTAAATCCTTAAGCTTGACTCACACCCACACCCAAAGGGGTGTTTAGCTCATAATAAAATTAGAGAACATAAGGGAATTAGAAGAAGAAAAATACATAAGAAATACTTGAACTGAAAATAATACTTAAACTGTTGCCCACAGAGGGCACACAATACACAGAGGCGAGAATGAAAGACTAACTACAAAAATTAAATTCCAAGAAGAAATTAAACTTGCTCTACTGCTGTAAAGCTTGAGAGAATGCTCCATGGTTGCTGAACTAAATTGTTGGTGGAGTAGATGCTTTTCAATTGAGAGAAAGTCTTCAAAATACAGGGAAAAGTGAGGACCGGACAAACCCTTTATCCAAAGGATAAAAATCTCCATTGTCCAAAGGGTAAGGACCTCCCATCACCACATGTCTACTTTATCTCTGGCCTTGTCACTTCTTCTTTGAAAGGTTGCAGTAAAAGTACTCCAATAAATTATGAAAAGAAGGCTTTTCAATCAAAATAAAGGTACGAGTACTTTCATGTCTTTTCATCACTTAACCAGGTCCATTCTTCCAAGCAACTCAATGTTTTGATCTGAACTTAGAATTAAATCTCATTAATATCCAAGAATATGAATATCAGAATTTTGTTCAAATCCAACTAGATGCAAATCCGCCATAAGATGAATGTGAGCAGAAAGTGGGCATTTTACCAACAGTAATGGGTTTTTTTTAGAAAATAATTAAATTCTTGACCTTTCATCACCTCTTAACATATTTTGGACCAAAAATACTAGATAGAAGCAAAATGGGTACCAAAGATACAATAAAATAAGGGTATTGAACAACAAATAACTCTCACAAAATGAGAGTTATCAAATACCCCAAGGACTAGGGCTAAGTTTTCTTCAACAACTCCTTTTCTTTGCTAGAGTAGGAGTGCTGGTGAGAAGATCTATCCCTTGGAAAGAATGTTCCCTGAAGAATATTCCTTTATAAAGTTGTCTTGGGATGAGTTAGATGGAGAAATAATAATCATCATCATCATCATCCCCACCACGATCAACACCTGAGTCAGGGATCTCATGATCCTCATCATCCTCATCTTTATCTTATCCTTCTTCATCACTAGCATTCGTAAGGAAGGAGGTCTTCAAGGTCTGCAACGACCCCGACATTCTGATTCTGAAGAAGAAATATGTTTCAGCTTTGATAACATCTACAACATCATTCTTTTCCATAGCCTTCTACCCTCTTTGTCGTCATCAATGGAGGAAGGGAGGCGATAAGTAAGATCAGTCATTGTCTTCTCTATGAAGCAAGAGCTTCTACGGGTTGAAGGTTGAGCTTAGCAACCATGTCTAGCTGATGACAATCAACATCACTGATGGAGGGTTCAGGGACAAACATCAACTTTTGTAGAAGCTGGAAAATCCATTGAAAGAGCTCACTATGCTTGGTAAGCTGAGCCTGAACACTTTCAGCCCTTTCTTGAGAGCTCAGCAATAGCATTGGAGTTGTGCTAAATTCCCATATTTATGGAGTTCAACTCATTCTTGACGTCAAGAATATCAGCTTTCACATCAGAGAGGCCTTGGACCAAGTCTTCCTTCAGGGGAATTTCCTGTTGAACCTCGTCCATTTTTATCAAGGACAATGACCATATTAGGGAGAAGCAGCTTGACATCCACAACCATGTTATAGGCGCTAGCCTCATTGACTGGGGGTGTATTCTCCAAAGGACCTGTAGAAAAAAGGTTAGGAAAACAATGAGCACGAGATAGCTCAGATTTAGTAAAGAAAGAAGAGGGAGAGAATTAGTGTATACCTAGGGGTTCCTTAGAACAATAAGATTGATTACCGCGGAGACCTAACTTCTCAAATGAGCTACTGAGAGGATCAATCTCATGTTGCTGAGGGGAGTCGAGAAAAGCATCATTAGGTTTTGTGGTAATAGCTTCACCAAATTTGGGGACAATCACTATTGGTTCATCAACTCATGTGATGGAGACTTTTTAAGGAGGAAAGAAGAGAATGGTTGAGAAAAGAAGTGGAGGATCAACAGTGGCAATGATGAGAACCACACATTTAACAAGTTGAGTCATTGAAGTAGTTGGGTTAGGTGCCACACATACGAAGAAAATAGAGGATATTGCTAAGGAGGAAGGTATGGGTAAAGTAGATATCTCGGGGTTAAGGCGAAGTTCAATAGTTGAGACCTGTTGAGAGGTCTCAGCTAGGAGAGAAGGTTTCCCATTTGTGGCTTTGTTAACCCTTATTGAGTGATTAAGAGTGGCTTCAGATTGTGTCCTCTTTTGAGAGGATAAGGTGGTAGAAACGTGGGTAGACTTTGGAGGTTGAGCCAAAGTCATGGTTGTTGAAGAAGAAGGAAGAGAAGAAGTATTAGATATCCTCAACATGTGAGGGAATAGACCAATATCTGAAGGCTCAGACTTGTGATCAAGAGTTCTTAATCCAAGTCGACAGAAGGGAAGGTCGCTTGAAGTGGGGTATTTTTTTTCCAGAATTCTGGCTTGAATCTGGCTCAGGAACCTAGTGTAAGGGATGACCATTTTCTGTTGGCGCTTGGTCAGCTTCAGCGCCAAGTCTTTAAAGCTGAGCAAAGTTAGTGATCATGTTCCCGAGAACCGAGTAGCCAATATTCAGTGCTAACCGGCTCGCTTGGTCTTGGTCCTCGGTTTTCCCACCTATTCACTATATAAAGTGAGAAAATAGGTATTGTCAGACTACAGACATCCGATTCTTCTCAATCTTGGTCAGAGACTTGTTGAGCTCTAAATCAGAGTCTTTCTTCAACGTCCAGTGATAGTGAATGTTGTCTAAAAACTTGATGATGGCCTCATTGTCGGTGTGTCTAGCAAAGAAATGGTCTTTGGAAGCTGCAACACAGAACAAATCATTATAGGAGCAAAGTTCATCGTCATGTTGTTGATTTGGTAGGAGATCTTGACATTGGGGTTTCCAAACTCATCTTTGGAAGTGTTCACCTCGACGGTGTACCAGAACTGTCTCAGGATATCTTTCACCATGATTGGTTGGAAAGTGAGAGCATATCCTCGCACACAGTTCTTGAGGTATGAGGCTGCTTCTGCAAAGTGAGATTTCTCTAGGAATCTCAAGGAGAACAACGTGGTTGTTTGGTTTGAAGGACCATTCCTTAATATCAAAGTTAACGCTCGATGCACATGCCATTTCTGTTTAAGAAGAAAATAAATAGAACAATTAGTTTTAGTCACAATCCTTAGATCAAAAGTGTGAAGGATAAACTTTTATTTCAAAGAACCAAATGAAAGAAAATAGGTTTTCAAGAAACAAACTTGAGATAATTCAAGAAAAAGAAGGATTTATACAACTTATGTTTGTATTTTAAAGAAGAAACAAAATTTTAAAATACAAAGAAGTTTCTTTTAAGATTATCAATAACAAAAAAGAGAAACAAATATGTTTTTGAGAAGGAAGAAGAAAAATAAGTGAGTGTTTAGAGGTGTTCTTGGTGTTGTTGCTATAAAAGTAAAGAGCCAGAGTGTTTGTGTATATTTTGAAAGAGAAAAAAGTGAAAGAACGAGCAAGTGATTTTTATAGGAGAGATGAGAGAGAAAGAGGAGAGAGGAAAACGACGCTTCAAAAAGATTTGTAATGATGATTTTTCTACATGTCATAAGAGAGTGATTGGTTT